AAGAGGCCGCATAGGCCTGAGCACCCATGATAGACCGACTTCTTACATTGGCCTAGCGCACCAGGACACCGAGTCTCAGGGATCACTGTACATCGCGGCCAAAAGTGAGCACGCTTCGCGTCGATGCGCATGCTGAACGCACTCGGCCGACCCGGTTGGTTCGACAAGTCAGACGCCTCCAAACGCGGCCTCGGGGCTCTGGGCCCACCTCCTTCCGAACTCCTCACACAGGGAGAGCGGGCCCGTTGGTCAGGCGCCTCGGGCATTGCATTCGAATGTCGATAGCTGGGCTGAACAGGATGCGGGGGCGGCCCGGGCGCATAGCTAGCTACCTGGCCCCCCCCCCCCCGGAACGTGCACGGGCCCACCCTCGGAAACGCCGTCGGACCTCCCGTGCTTGATGAGCGGTGACGTCACTGAAAAGCTGACCGTCTCGCGCCGCTGCTCGCAGGTGGCCCTGACTGGGCCGCCCGCGGGCCGGTCCTCCACGATCTTCTCGAGGCCCCGTTCGAGCGAGTCGCCAGAAGGAAACGCGGCCTCCTCGCCGTGGGCGAGGGGCACCTGCGCGGGAAGCGGGCCATCGGCCAGCGGAACAAGATAAATGACGCCACGCGCCGCAGCCCCTCTCCCTGCGGCAGGCGGACACATGCATGCGCGGCCGGCCTCGGCGTCGATTTGCGGGGGAAGTCCCACTCTGACGGCGCGGATTCCACCTCCTGCTCGCCGTCCGAGAGGTCGATGGGAACGTCGGGTTGGCCAGCGATTGTCAGCGGCATCTGCTCCCCGCGCCCGCACCAGTCGGGCCCCGCGTCGTCGGCGGCCTTCGGGGCGCCCGGGCGATACTCGTCGTCGCGGGGAATGCTCCAGCTGATCAGTGTTCGGATGAGGGCGTTGACTTCGCAACTCGACATTGTCGGTGGAGGCAGCCCCAGCAACGCTCATACTTGAGCCGCAGCAACGCGCGTACTTGTGCATCACCCACTGAATGGAAAAATGTTTATCCATTTGGTGGCATCGCTTTCGACGATGGTAGAACCTTCGTCCGATGGCCAGCGCCTTGCCAGTTCTCCGTCAAGCGGTGGGCATCCGCAGCCCGATTAAACGGCAAAGCGTGTAATTGGTATTCATGGCGATCTTCTTCTGGTAATGTCTTTCATGCTCTGATCCAAACGGTGCATGGGGAACGCGCGTCTTCCCGCCGTGGCTCAGCGCGGCGCTGCGCCGTAAACTATGACTGGGATCACGCCACTTGGGGGGGGCGGCCGGCCAGCGGGCGGGCGCGCGCGGCGGGCGGGCCGAACCAGTTTTTGCCGATCGAAGCCAGAACAGGTGCAATAAATCATCGATGTCCGGCGGCGGCGGGACAGCGATGCCGATGAGGCAATGCAGGGGTGCGACTGAAATCACTAGCATGCCGCGCGAGTCAAAATTCTCCGTTGCACATCTTTTTCGCTCTCCGCGATCGGCCGATATGGCGCCTGCATGGGCGGTCGGCGGGGGAGGGTGAGATTTTCCGCGGCGCCCTCCAAGCGCTCTTTTCCTTAGCCCGAGTTGCTTTCCCGCCAGTCCCCACTGACGCCGCAGCGCCACGCCAAGGTCAGCCCAACGCAACAAGGAGGAGGAGGAGGGGGAGGAGGAGGAGGAGGAGGAGGAGGAGGAGGAAGAGGAGGGCGGGGACCGATAAGGAAGAAGAGGAAGAGGAGGAGGAGGACGACCCCCCCCTCTGCCCCCCCCCCCACCCCCCCTCCCCATCACCATCATCATCGTCGCCAACAGCATCAGCATCGCCATCGTCGGCATCATCCGCATTATTATAATATTCTTACTGACGGTGGGCGCCGGGATTGCGCTTCCTGGCGCGGGGCGCCTGATCCTCCTGCCAACGGCGTCGTTTTATGGCAGCGCGTCGGAATTATCCCTCTTCGAATCTCGCATCCAGAATCACCCGCCACTCAAAATTGCTTCATTGTTCTCCTCGCCCTCTGCAGTGCAATGTTCTCGCCCTGCAACCTCGCGCGCGTCATTACGCATGCCGCCCAGCAGCGTTCTGCTTCGTGCGTTGTCACGTCTTGAAATTCAAAGACTACTGCTTTCGTTCTCGTCGTTATTCAAAAAGCACTGCCGTCAAACGATACGCAAGGATATTGAATTCATGGATTCGCGCCACAGATGTTCAATATAACTTCGACTTCGACTGGGCCTCCAATCGCGAAAAGGTGCCCCGGGGGGCCCGCCCCGGCCCCGGGGCCCCGGGGGGGCGGCCCAGGTCGCCAGGGGGGGGGGCCCTGGAGGATCGGCGCGCCGTAAAACCTCAACACCGATTTTCCCGGGGGGGCGGGGGCGCCCCGAGCCCCGCCGAATAATTCGTCGGGGGGGCGGGGGTTCAAGCCCGCCGCCCCCCGCGCCACCAATCTCAGAAAACGCTCTCTCGGACCTCGGCGGGCCCGGGGCGCGCCCGCGGGCGCGCGCCTCGCGCTGGAGGCGGCGCGCGCCAGCGACATGAGACCCTCGGCGAGCGAAAGAACGCTTGGCAGCGCGGGCCCAAGCGCCAAGCAACTCGGACGCGCCGCGGCTCCCGCTGGCGGGTGGCAAAATCGACGATTCCGCGCGGGGGCGGACTCACAGCCTGGGCGGGCCCCGCGGCCAGGCACTCCGCGCGGGGTGGCCGAAAGCGAACGCCAGGCAGAACTACCGTACGCTACGTTGCAACGGCTGGGCGGCCGGTTCGACACCGCGCTGGGCGTGGAGGCGCGAACAGCGAGGAGCGTCTGCGCGGCGGGCGCAAAATCGGCTTGCCTGCGAGTCTCGGCAGCCACGGTAGCTGCAGCGCTGGCAAGCGCATCGGCGACGACCACCGTCCAGGCGAGCGCTTCGTCGCACCGCTGACGTTGGTGTTTGAGCGCGCCGACGGAGAGCGCTCTCCTTGACGCGGGTGGCACTGCGCGTGGTGGTCGGCGGCTTGGGCCGCAAACCGATGCGCTAGGCGCGCGATGGCGCCGCGCTGTCCTCGGGCGGGCGAAAGGCCACGCGACGGCGCCGCGGGCCCCACCCGCGCGGGGCGCGCCGCGGGGGCCCGCCTCCGTCTCCACCGAACTGCCGCCATGGATAGGGAGCGCGGCAATGCCTTGTCAGGCTTGCGAAGGCCACCGCCCAGTCCGAACGAGTCGTACTCGTCGTCGTGCTCGCGTAAAGCCCAGGCCACCTCGGGGTCTTGGAAGTCGGCACTGCTCTCGTTAGCTGCTGTGGCAGGGGCTCGATCTTGGCGAGCGAACTCGGCGCCGTCGTGGGCCGCCGGCCTGGGGGCCTCTAGGGGCTCGGGGCCGCGGGCGCGGTCTTGGCGACCGTCCTCTGCGGCCACTTGCGCGACCGCCCCGGGGCCCATTGGGCGGGGGCGCCGCCTCGCGGAGAGCCCGAAACGCCGATGAATTCTTGCTTGGTGCGCAGAGTGTGCTCGAACTCGCGCAGCGCGGTTCTCATGGAATTGAACTCAAATTCGGCTGTCGGGGATAACCCGAGCATGATGCCGCGCGTTCGCAAAACGGTCGTCATCTGGCTTGCCTTGGCCCCGTGCGCGCGCAACCAGAACCAAGAGCGACGGGTTTCCCAACCGACTGCCGCGACGCGAGCCGCTCGGCAGCGCCGGAGAGATTACGCGGCGCAAGGCGACGACAAACTCGCCCCTTCGGGGCGATGGCTCGTGGACCTCTAATCAGCAGGAAGCCGGGCACCCGGCGGGACGCGTAGGCAGCAGAGAGCGCGGTTGGCTGCTCTTCGTGAGAAAGAAACACGCGTGGGATGCACCGCGGAAAATTGCCAAACTGTCGCTACAGCGCGCTTGGAGGAGGCACGGGGGACGGCTCGGACAGATAGCTACATGCACTGCGCCAATGCGTGCACTTCTTTGCCCCATTGCTGTCGCGGCCGGCCGCGCTTCCGGCCGCGCTTCCGCTTCCGTTTTCGGCGCCCCTTCGTCGCACGAAAGAGGTGCCGGATAATGCCGCGATCTTCCTGTACAGTTGCTATTTCTGGATAACGGCGTGTCCGAAAGCAGCGTTGTGCCAGCCCCTCGAGCTCTGAAACCGCCCGAAAACGCAATGCCTCTCCAAAGGGGCCGAAACGAGTAAGTGGCAACTGTACTGAAATATAAGAAGGGGATATCAACATTAAGGGATAACGGGGTATCACGAAACGGCAATCCATACGCCGCCGCACAGAATGTAACGAGTCCGAATGATGTAAACGCAGCTCCTATCCTTTAAGGGCCCTCCTGGACCTGAGCACCCCTGACGAACCTCTTTCTTTTTGTTCGTCGCTGCGCTGCAGTGCCTATTCCGATACTGCCTGTTTTGGCCTCGGCCCCGCGGCCACGGATTGCTCGCAGACCTGGCGGGGCGTTGAACCAACAGAAATGTTGCTTTGCAGAGCGTCCCGGGCCGCGCCGAGGTGCAGTGGCTGCTACGGAAAACGCTTGGAGCTGCTCCCAACATCCGCGTGCTTACGTGACGGTATGCAGGCGAATACATCGAGGACTGGATAGCCTGAGCACGTGCAGAGCTATCACATTAATGACATGGAAGCTCGGCCGACCGAAATGTTTCTGTGGCGGCTGGCGGAAAAAATGAAAAGTATGAATCCACAATTGCCTTGCCCAAGCGTCGCCCGGAGTGACCAATGCCGAATGTGCCTGGGCACGCTTGCGGTCCATCACGGTGTGCGCGATGAACCAAGGGATCGTGATTCCGACCCCCGGCAGAAGGGTGAAGACGCCGAGGCATGCACCCAAGATCGGCGTGAGAATGTTGTGGTCTTTTGCGAAGTCGACGTAGTCCCACTTCGCCCCCCTGATCAGTGCGCCCAATATGAACGTGCCGTTGACTGCATAGCAAATTTGGGTGATATGCTCGAAGAAGAAAGTGAACCTCCCGTGGACAACATAAAAGGGGGGAAACAAGATCCGGCCAACGATATACAACACGCCAAGGGCCCAAGCCGTCTCGAAATCAACGAGCCCTGCGTACATCCACAAACACGGGATGAAACACACAGCTTTGCTCATACTGGTTGCCCGCGAAACGCGAGGCGTTCGCTCCCCACTTCTCTGTCTGCTTCTTCCCGTCGAGCATGGCCCAAGGGCCTGAGAGGAACACGCCCAGAACCTGAGCGCCCACATAGTTGTAGTAGATGATGCACCATACGGCCTGCACGACCATCGTCTTGCCAAAGGCATCAACAACTTGCTCGGGGGTACCTGCCCCCAGTGCAGGTCCCTTCGGGGTGACGAAGTTGAAGAACAGGGTGGTCGAGATGCATGCCGACACGAACCCCGTGAAGATCATGACTGTGTTGAAGTCGCCCTCGAAGGGCAGCTTCATGCAGCCGAGGTCCAGGATCATGGCGCCGACCCCGCGGTACCGACTAGCTTGAACGAGCAGCAGCTTATGCAATGCCCTTCTTGGCCTAGCCTTGAGCAAAAACGGCTTGAGCAAAAATGGCTACGGATAGCACTGACGGACCTCGTGGGCCATGTTCGGCCCAACATGCGGCCCCGGAGACCCATCAAACATCGAATAAGAAAGTACCCGATCAACAACAAGTGACCATAGCAGCGGACCGGCGTTATGCGGATGGCAGCATAGCAAAAAACGCAATGTGTCATTAACACGGCATGAACGGCTTACACGTGCATGACACTTGGGCCTCCCGGGAGCCCACGACAATAGCAACGGTTGCGCAAGTGGCAGCACCCCCAGAGAGCTGCGAGATATCGTCTGGGCGCGAGTAAGACCCCGCTGCGCTGGGCCTCCCAGGAGCCTAACGAAAGAAGCCAAAGCTGCGCAGGTGGCAGCACCCTCAGGGAGCCGACCCCACTGCGCAGCCCACAAAAATTGCGACGGTTCTGCAGGTGGCAGCACCCACAGGCAGCTGTGAGGTCTCGTCGGGGTGCGCGTAGGACACCACTGCGCTAAACCTCCCATGGGCCCACGAAAGTGGCGACGGCTGCGCATGCAGCAGCACACAGCGGGAGCCGCGAGGTCTTGACTTGGTGCGCGTAGGACCCCACTGCGGTGGACCTCCCAGGAGGCCACGAAAGTGGCGACGGTTAAGCAAGTGGCAGCACCGACAGGGAGCTGCGAGGTCTCGTCTGAGTGAGCGAAACAAATCACTGCGCTGGGCCCCCCAGGAGCACACGAAAGTGGCACCAATTGCGCAAGTAGCAACACCCCTCGGGAGCCGCGAGATCCAGTCGGGATGCGCGTAGAGCACCACTGCGCTGGGCCTAGCCCACGAGAAGTGGCGACGGTTGCGCAGGAAGCAGCACCCCCAGGGAGCCGCGAGGCCCAATCGGGGTGCGCGTATGGCACCACTGCGATGGGCCTCCCAGGAGCCCACGAAGGAAGCGACATTTGCGCAGGGGGCAACACCCTCAGGGAACCGCGAGGTCTCTTCAGGATCCCACTGCGCAGATCTCCCTGGGAAGCCTGCGTAAGTGGCGCGATTTGTCTCGTGCGGGTGCGCGTACGACCCCACTGCGCTGGATCTCCGATGAGCCCACGAGGCGCCCGTTGCGAAGGTGGTATCACCCTCAGGGAGCCGCGAGGTCTCGGCTGGGCGCGCATGAGACTCCACTGCGCTGGGCCTCTCAGGAGTCCACTAAAGTGGCGCCGGTTGCGCGGGTGACAGCACCCCCAGGGAGCCATGAGGTCTCGTCAGGGTGCTGGCAGGAGCCCCTCAAAGAAGATGCGCTGTGCCTCCCAGGAGTCCACAACAGCGGCGACGGTTGCGAAGACAAGAAACAGAGAGCAAGACGACGAAGGGAAGAGACAGGAGGCGGGAGGAGGCGCGCGGACGCGCGAACAGAGTTCTATTCAAAACGAAAGATCAAAACAGGAGTGTTCGGCATAAAGTGAACTCACCAGAATTATCCTGGCGAAGGACTAAACCATGTGAGGATGTGAGTAACGCAATTGTGAATACTGTTTTCAATGGAGCTGCCTATGGTGCCGCAAACCCTGTGAGGGGTGCGCCGAAATGAGGGTGGAACTGCATGCGGACCCTGCCACTTGGGCCTTCGGTGGAGCTCCCTATGGGGCCACGAACCTTGCGAAGGGTGCGCCGAAATGAGGGTGGAACTGCATGCGGACCCTGCCACTGGGGCCTTCCGTGGAGCTCCCTATGGGGCCACGAACCCTGCGAGATGTGCGCCGAAATGAGGGTGGAACTGCATGCGGACCCTGCCACTGGGGCCTTCCGTGGAGCTCCCTATGGGGCCACAAACCCTGCGAGATGTGCGCCGAAATGAGGGTGGAACTGCATGCGGACCCTGCAACTGGGGCCTTCCGTGGAGCTCCCTATGGGGCTACGAACCCTGCGAGATGTGCGCCGAAATGAGGGTGGAACTGCATGCGGACCCTGCCACTTGGGCCTTCGGTGGAGCTCCCTATGGGGCCACGAACCCTGCGAGGGGTGCGCCAAAATGAGGGTGGAACTGCATGCGGACCCCGCCACTGGAGCCTTCGGTGGAGCTCCCTATGGGGCCACGAACCCTGTGAGGGGTGCGCCGAAATGAAAGTGGAACTGCATGCGGACCCTGCCACTGGGGCCTTCGGTGGAGCTCCCTATGGGGCCACGAACCCTGTGAGGTGTGCGCCAAAATGAGGGTGGAACTGCATGCGGACCCTGCCACTGGGGCCTTCGGTGGAGCTCCATATGGGGCTACGAACCCTGTGAGGGGTGCGCCGAAATGAAAGTGGAACTGCATGCGGACCCTGTCACTGGGGCCTTCGGTGGAGCTCCCTATGGGGCCACGAACCGTGTGAGGGGTGTGGCGCAATGGACATGCGGAGGGCAGAGGCAAGGAGGGGGAGGAGGGGGCAGCGGGAGGTGGGAACGCGGGGCGCTGTCTCTTCAAAACGAGGACCCAACACCACAGGATGGAAAAACACTTGCTGTGTTTCACAAGTGCTACCTCGGGCCTTCTTGTGGCAGCTGGGAGCCATGCTGGAAATCATAGTTGTGCCAACACGGCCCCTCCGGCGCCATCTTGAAGGCATGACTTGCCATATCCAGCCTGGTCGCGTTGCCCCGTCCGACACAAGACCGAGGGCACCGTGATCCCACGATTTGGGGCGCCGGGTGAGGTTAGCAAGCTAAATCAAGAGAAATCCTCTCCTGGGGACTGGATGCCCCCCCTCTCCCTAGGGAGCGGCCAGAGAATCCACGATGGTCCGCGATGGCCCACAGGTGGCCCCAGATAAACCAAGATGGCCTCCAAGATCGCGCAAGGTGGCACAAGTTTACCACAATATGGCCTCAAGCATGCCTTCAAGATACCCTCAAGACTGCGAGAAGACGTCCGAGATCGCCTCGGAGCATCTCCGGGAAGTCGCCGAGAGGCCAATCCCCCCAACACACTTTTTGCGTCGGCTCGGCAGAGCAACTGCGCTGGCGGAGGAGCTAACTAAACGGTGGCACCGTTGTAGCGAAATGTGCCACAATGCACCACCAATCCCCCCATCATGTGCCGTCTCGACGGTTCGCTTCCGATTGACCTGTGAGGCAAACGTGGCCCGAAGAAGACCAACAGAGGGCTGCCGCGATCGACTCATCGAAGGCTCCACAGCCCAGCAGAGGGCAGCCAAGAGGCTTGACGAGTGATTCTCCACGTCCCTACTCACGGCAGCTCGCCTACGGCTGCGCCCTTGCCCGAACGTGGTAAGCTCTGGCTTCCGACACCGCGCGGATGGCTCAGGGTCGGTCCAGCTCAGGCCGCCGCCGGCCTTCAGCCTCGAACGCCCGCGCCGGCATCACCGCCGCGTCGACGCGGCGCGAAACCGCTGCGGGACTGGCCACCTGCAGGCCACAGCGTGCTGCCAGAGGGCACGCCTAACAGGGGATATGTCGACCCCTATCCCAGGCTTCGTGGGGGTTCCGAATGGACCAGAAATCTGGGGCCCAACCCTGGGATATACGAGGGGGGGGCGTCCATCCTCGACAGGGGTGCGTCCGAATAGCCCCCTCGGGATGTATCCCAAGATTCCTCCCCTTTTCTGAGCGACCAAACCTTTCTGGCGGAAGTCGGGGATTGGGGGAGAGAAATCGCCTGCAAAAACGCCGAGTCCAGAGCGAGAGGGGGCTCTTCTGGCCACGGCGGGCCGCGGCCACGAGCGGGCTCCCCGGCCCAATGTGCAGGCCTGCGGGAACGGCCCCGAGGATCGGAGCCCCGCCCGCGCCCCGAGCGGCCCTCCCCTCGGCGTGTTGGCTGCACGCGAAGCGCCAGGGAGCGGCGGAGGTTCGGCGCCCGGCGCTAAAAGGAGCTCCGCGCTGGGCGGGCCAGTCGCTCCGGGAGGCCGCGCGAAGCGACCGCGCGCGCGCGCGCACGGAGGCGCCCCCGCCTTCGGCGAACTTTTCGGGGACAACTGGCGCGGGCGGGAGGGGAGGGGGGGTCGGCGAGGCTCACGGGAGGAGGGGGTGGAGGTGGAGGAGGAGGAAGGAGGGACGAGGAAGAAAAAGGGAACGCTGCGAGCCCCGAGCTTGAAGTCCGATCAACCTGCAAAGGAGGGACGAGGAGAAAAACATGTAAAAAAAACTGGGGGGGAGGGAGAGGGGGGGGCCTCCGTTCTCTTCCTTCCGCCTCCCCGTCCCCTTTCGCCGTTTCCCTCTCGCCCCCTCCTCCCCTTCCTCCTTCTTCAGCTCCCTCTGTATCTCATCTTGCAAGCTCCGCTCCGTCGAAACACCAGGCGCTTCAGTTGAGCTGGCCGTACGTTTCGCCTGAGACTTCCTGGACGCTGATGACCGCGAAGGTTAGCAAATTCCAAGAATTACAACAATCGTATTGACAGCTTCAAACAGTGACAAGGTTGGGGGGCTGCCAATTGTCAGAATGTAAATATCACTATCGTGCCGCGCACAGCCGCCGCTCGTCTCACGATGTCCCTAGAACTACGGGGATAGCGGATGTTTTTTCTGTGCGAGCCTGAATTCCAAGACTGAACAACACTTGCAAGGATGCCAGGCGGTCACTACAAAATGGGGCTCTCACTTCAGAAAATCTCGATCAAATACGCCACCATGCAGGAAGCTCGCGGAAACGAGCAAGAGAGTCCAAGATTCCTCCACGACGGCACACGAGCGTTTCAGGACGCCCAAGACGGCACAGTCGAAAATGACTATGGTAAGTCAAATAGCATCCGATTCCATGAACATCGGATGGCAAATAGCGTCCGGTATCGTACTGAGGCTGTTCAGTAAGAAGAATGGACGGATAAGATGGGATGAGATCGATGTAGTGATCTTTCCAGCACATAGCGAACACTCGCGGTGTCCGGGCAAATAGGGCGCGCGTGCCTTGAGCCAAAGGCAACGGCGCGCGAGCTATACTCCCGATTCTATATAACATCTCCCAAAGAGCTACCCTTAAAGTCGGGAGGGGAGGAGACGGAGAGTATAGCCGCGCAGCAGTTAGGCTCTACAAAGGCCGTGCGCATGACTGTTTGCAAGAAAAACAGTGCGTACAGTCTGGCCTAACACCAGACTGTAAGGCGAGTTTCCTCGCAACGTATTTCACGCAAGTACGAGATAGCCCCTTGGACGTCAAAGGGCTATCGGCCCGGCTAGAGGTGAGCCAAACGGGCTACACCTCACCGAGCAAACGGATATTATGGCAACGAGCCTGAACCAAGCTGAACAGGCTCGTCGCCAAGCGTGAAATGGTAGGCTCGTTTCCGAGCACCTAGAAGGGCGCCTCTGTATTAGGCGCCCATGCTGGCAAACTGGACCGCGGGGGCAACAAGGACAGACTAAAACTGATTAGACTTAGGCTTGTTTCTGTCCTCGGGGCCCCGGAAGGGAACAGACTGCTTCACGTCATACTTAAATGACTGGTTACCTGACATCACTTCCAAAAGCAGCTCCCGATCGATGCCCCCCTTTGTATGCCCATCTGCGGTCATATCTCTAGTAACACACCACTGCACATTATGTAATATACCTATACCGATGAGCTCACGTATCCAACTGATATGTCCAAGCAAGGTCCGTCCCGTCGGTATCTTAAGATCCTTGCTGGATAACGATTTATGAACCGACTCAGCGTCTATGGTAAGGGATACTTTAATAGCGAGGCCCCCAACTTCACGCATATCTCGTAGTTGTCGTGGAGTCAGAGCCCCTGCCTTGAGCTCGTGGAGAGTGATGGGCGTAGGGTAACACTCATCAAGGTTGTGCGCAGCTGCGAGTGCCTCAGCGGCATAGCTGGACCTCACCTGCAGCCGGTGTGATTTGCATAGTCCGTCACAGAGGTGAACGACGGATTTGCCTTGAGGCGAGTTTCCTCGCCGTAGTACGTTGGCCCCGCGTATGCCATAGCCCTTGGTCTCATCGCCCCCCTCCCCGGTGAGCTTCCGACGCCCCGAATCACTGTGTATGTCAACTTCATTCGTCGGCTTCATCCGAGGGAAGGTGATGCGTTTAGGGCTGCTGATCAGCTTTCGCGTCACAGCATTCAGTCGCCTGACTTGTAGGTTGGCGGGCTCTTGGATTTTCTGGAGAGAGACCACGTATACCATGAGCCAGACTTGAGCAAAAAGGGCATAGGCGAGGGCTCCTCGCAAGCTGACGAACATGTCGGTGATGAGTTTGGTGGCTTTGGCATCGGCCGCCGCTCCTGTAAGTCCTGGGTGTGTGATAGGACGTAAATGTTTGATATACTCGTCCTGATCCATGATCACATCCCCTTGATCATTCTTAGTGTAGCGAACGGCGCAGTTCGTATATGAGTGTTTGTTAAGCTTGCATTTGCCAAACACCTTTTCGACACGTTGTACATAGTCGTCAATATTTTTCTCTAGGCCTGTCATATTAATGTCATCGACATGTTTTGCCGTTAGCAAATCTTGGCTGAATTCAAATTCAGGATCATAACGTGTCGGTATAAGGCCTATAGCTCGTGTGGTCGTACGAAGCTTGAGAGAGAACGCTCTTGGGGCGTCCTTTGCACCCGTTCCTGGCTTGAGGCACCCGAGGCAGTGTCGGCTTTCGCCATAGGGCGAAAAGCCGGGCAGTGTACGAAGTACCTGGGCACTTCCCGGTGGAAGAGCGAAGCAGACCATGCGAGTTTCCTCGCCGGTGGCATGAACAAGTTCCTCATAGGTCAAACCCTTGAGGAACGCTTTGTCGATATCCATGGATGCTAAGATCCACTCTGGATGGCATGCCGCCTCACTTGCCAGGAGTCTCTGGGACTGCCTTCGAGCGGTTCCCGAGAAGGTTTCCACATCGAAAGCCTCAGTGTCCATAAATCCACGAAGGACAAGTCTGAGACGGATGGTTTTAACGTTCTCGGTACCTACCTTCACAAACTTCCACTTATATACACATCTGGATGTCATGATGTTGGAAGCTTTGGATAAATCATACATCTCAAAGCACCGGTTACCAAGCCAGATCTTGAGCTCAGTGCACAAAGCTTCACTAACCTCTTTTGGGTGTGCTGCTATGTCGGCTTTGGTGAGTAGGTCGTCTTCCTTGACTACCACAGCACGTTTAGCAGCAGAGGATGCGTATACTCTCATCGTTGCGACCATATCAGTGTCGAGCTGTGCAAGTTGAGTCTGATCCAACACTACCTCTGACATTTCTGATGTAAACATAACTCAACATAGCGACCATATTCATCACTGTCAAGAGAGTAGCCCTCGTCAGATGTGGTTGAGCATAGAAAGACTAGACAGGGTTTTTGTGGTTTCGGCTCGTCTCCAAGCATTTCCGACGATACGGTATCTTCTTCGTCCACGGATGCTGAAACCAAAACATTGGTCGGGCAGCATGGTTGTTGGGACGCAGTAGAGATAATCGTCGGTAGTCGTCGTGGGATGAAGGTCCATACGTAACTCGTCGTACCACTTTTCCAGCATCATGGCTTCGATATTGTGTTCCTCGTTATCTTCATAGATTGTCGACAGACGGCCTTCACTTGGCGATGAAGCACCTGGGGTGTCTGGTGGAGGCCTGCTTCCAGGCGAATCGCGTTCTCCAGACGTGGTGGCCGAGTGCTGATACTTGGCCAGGTCGTCGTGAAATCCTAAGGAAGGAACTTGTGAGGTCAAGCATTGGATGAGTCTGGCATGAGCGCTACCAGTGAACTGAGAAATGTTCAGGCCAGTGCCCACACACTCATAATAGTGGAACGCTGGGCTAACATCATTGTCGTAGTGGATCAGCGTAGATCCGGTGGCGTACTTTACTACAGGTAGACAGGACACACTTTTGGCCAATCTAACTGCTACTACGCGTTCTACTCGGAAATAGTTTCGCACGAGGTACTGTAGTGCAAGATGCACGCGCGGGTGAAACATGTTGCCGTCTGAAAGATTGAGGCTTCCCTTGTAGTCTGGGATATAGCCAAAGACTTTGGCAGGTTTCCCTGCACCGAAGTGTGCCACATACATAAGGACTGTTTGCATGGCCATATTATCAATGCCAAGTTCTCGTGCGAGGAGGCATTCAATGTATAGCGTGTGACGAGCATCAGGATACATCACAATTACCTCACGAGATCCTGCCTCGACAACGATGCGTCCTCTTTCAGGCACATTACGGATCACAGGGAATGGGCCGTTCCAGCCTCCATGATCGTCCTTAGCGGCAGTGGGTCGATGGTAGTCGACTAGATCCCCAGCTGAGTAAAGGCGAGCACCATCTGGAGCCGTTTTAGCCCTGAGAGCACGATTTGTCTTGGCCACAGCCGTGGCTTGAATTATTGTTTCTAGGCTGACTTCCCTCGCACGACGTTCTCGTTCATGGCCTGATGTCTCGGGTCCCTTGGGAAAGTCAAGGGTGTCGAGGTCAGGAAGAAAGGAGGGCTGACGTCCAGTGTGTGCTTGGTATGGCGATACCCCGTTGTAAAACGTGAAGGCGTTAGTAACGAAGATGCCTTCAGCCAATACTCCAGTGAATACAACAGGGATGTTGTGTCTGTTCAGCTCTCCCTCAATCATGTGGAGGACGCCCCTGAGAATACCGTTTCGTGACTCGATTGAAGTCGCGTGTTGGCCAGGCGCTCGGATACGGAGTGCTGTACCCTTGTTCGCCATCATGGCCTTAGCGGCATCGTTGTTCAGGGCGCCTTCTCCATCTGAGTACAAGACTTTGAAGGGTCCATGATAGGCAATCCAGCAATAGTGGTAGGCGTCGAGTAAGGCATCACGTTCTCTGTCGGAAATTTCTCGGCCTGCTGCCAGGCGAATACAACGATCCATAATGTGGAATATGGTTCGTTTCTTGTAAAACATGAGATCCCTTTCGCCTTCATCGAGCCAATTTCCAGGAAGGCTCACCGAAGGTAGCGTTGAGTTTCCTGGACGTTCCCACGCTCTGCATTCCCGACAGGCGTCACAAACTTCTTTAATCATATTCAGTC